ATGTGGACAAAGAAAAGGGAGGCTATTGTGTGCGTTTACGCAAGGAGTCCACGTGCGCTCGCGCTCCCACGGGGTTCGGGAGGGACGGATTTTGGGTTTCGTATATAAGGGTGCGTACGCGCCTAACGGTCCACTTCCGAATTCGACCAGCTTCTGTGCACACACCGGGGGTCCGTATCGGCACCCCCGGTGGCAGTGATTTGTCTCTATCAAAGTCAAACTTCATCACCAGTTTGTCAACTAACAGTTTCAAGTGACTATCAAAGATTTCTAAACAATCAATGTTTTTTCTGAAAATTTACTTATCTGACGACGCTAAAACTTTTTAAGGTATGTTTTGCTTTCTAATTTATTTTTCCGCCATTTCTATTTACTTTATTTACTTCATTTAGTTTCTTATTGCCAAACTCTTTGCATTTTTACGTCTTTTTTATTTTACTGAGCCTTTCTATTTCAGATATTCCTTGTTGAACGAACTCTTTTAATATTTTATTGTCAAATGTCTGTTTTGTTATAGTATTTCTATTTGTTACAGATAGACAATGAAAGCTGTTGCCAGTTACTAAAAATTGGACACCAAGGAAATTCAAAATCCAAAATTTGTATAATTTATATAAAAATCATAGCTGCTGTCTCAAATCAACATTCGGGCCACTCACTACACCATCATCAAAATCATCAACGTCATATTCATCATCGTCTTCGTCAAGGAAATCAGGTGAACGTCATTTATCTGGATTTAATTACATTTCTAGACTCCCAAAGATAGGCTAGGTAGTTAAGTTAGTTTAGGTCATCGTGTTAGTAAATGAATAGTTTCCTGATTCTACTTAAGTGTCTTTGGTTTAGAGTACATACATATATGTCAAATTTAGCGTTAGGGATAGATAAGTAATAGATGTAGGGCTTAAGGGTTAACAGTTATGTTTTCTATGAACACTAATTTGCTTCAAAATCAACAAGAATTGCACGTCAAAAGTGCCTTAATTGTCGGTATTGTTTGTTACCACGTCGTTACCATGTTATTGTTTTGATGTACTGTTAAGTTACGTTTCTTCTGATATTGTTACCTAATTGTTATACCGTTCACGGAAGTTAGTTGTTTCCATTTTGTTACCACTTTTGACTCAACACTCAAGCGATTCTAAATTCATTTGCCTTTAAATCGTTTTAAATTTTTTATTATCCTTTCAGTTTTTTGTTATCATTTTAATTGTTTGTTTATAATCATACACAAAGTAAATGTTGAAAAAAATATGCGAAAATTCAATTTAAAAAAAAACATGTTACTTGTTTCCAGTTACTTGCTTAGTTACATAAAACTTGAGTTTTTGTTTTGTTATTATCTGATTATCATGGTTCATTACGAATGAACTGATGCAACCTATAATTACAATATTGTGTCAGTTTATCAATTTGATATTGAGAGTGTAGTAGCCGGATTAATCTATATTTTTTATTTTGTTTTTCTTAAGTTTTTCTCCTGGAATAATGTACTTACTTGGTGTTAATTTTATTATTTTGATATTCAGTTCCAATGAAATTCCAAGATGGTCTCATGAATTACAATTTCACTTTTCGTTTTTTTACTTAAACAAGCTGGTCTTGTCTCATAAAGCTGATTACTTAGTACATGTTATTTTTAAGTTTTTGTTTTGAACTTTTGTTACAAATTGGAACTTCGGGTTATACATTAGGTAAACAAACGCTATTCCAACTTTGTTAATTCTTCGTTGATTTAACTGTTATCTAAACGTTGATTTTTTGTTTCTCGTTCAAAGTTTTCTGTTTGAAGCAACAATTGTTCCAACAGTTGTTCTTTTGACTCCACCGATTCAGTTATGTTTAAGTTTGTTTCCTTGATGTTTTTGTTCTGTTTGAAACAATCGCGATGTGCCTTAAAGCCTAAAGTGCCTAAAATCATTGTGCTTGTACCATTACATTAATTGTTTACCTTCTGTTTTGGTTTGATAATTATTAGAAACCATAACAGGATGCATTATACATTAAACATCCGCATGTACGTTGCCTAATGCGATACCTTTATTTTTGCGGTACGGTAGTTACTATGTGGTACCTAAGTAAAATGTAAACCAAATACTGCAAAGAAATAAAAGTAAACTCAGAATTTCAAGAAAAGCGCGACTGTAACATGAGGATTGTTTAATAAATTAGCTTAGTGACTATTATATCCTCTAAATATTTTAATGTTGCCACATTTTTTCCCTTTGAATATTTAATTTAATATAGAACTCCGCTTTAGACTGCCAAAGTTCCTACATCACTTTTCCAGATATTTTGTTCATAAGTTAAATCTCCTTGCACATTCTGCAATAGCCGTGTATAAAATTCTTCAGGATAAAATGGCCACTACGCAATATTGTTTTGTTTGCACAATAACTTGTTAATGTTAAATAGTTTTAAGTGTTGAATTGTTGTTAAGTTTCATTGTGATATTTTGTTAACGTTAATTGAATGGCTGTGTTTGTTATATTTATATTAAGTTTTATGTTTTAACTTTCATTGTTCTTTGTTTTTTTTTTTTGCCGACATTAGGGCCACAATAGTTTCGTCTTTGTTGGTAACTTGAACTTATCCTAGTTAACTTCTTATTGTAATTTAGATTAAGTTTCGCTTTTGTATAAATCTAAAGTTAAAACTAAAGCTTTGTATAAAATTAACAAATAGGTTAGGGTTTTGGTTAGGTATTTATTAAGGGATGTATGTCAGTTTGTGTGTAAGTTTGTGTGGAATAAAAAATACTTGAAAAAAGTTGTTTGATTTCACGATAGCTAATCAAAGTAGGCATTCACGGAAATGTTGGTGCTTCCAGACGTGTTTTTTGTTCGAGAATTTATCTGTTTCAAAGATAATATTAGAATTGTACAAGTATAGGTGTACCTACTGATTATAAACGAATTTTTGTCATACCATTGCACGCTTTTATTAGTCTGCCATGTATGAAACCAAGTACTACCTACCTATGTAATTTATAACTTTTTTAATAAAAAAAAACGACCTTAAGAGCTAACTACGCTTTCGCCATGTTAGTTACCGTGTTCTCCTTAATGATATCTGTAAAGCACAATACAATATGGAAGTCGTCAAAACATAGGTACATGAGGTAGACCCAGTGGCGGAATTGCCCTAAAGCCCTGTAGGCCCGGGCTTAGAGCGCGGCGATTTTAGGGACGGCCAATCGTGACAAAAACATTCACTGACGATAACAAAAAATAACTCAAAGTACCTATAAATTCTAAAGGTTCACGCACATTATGGGGGGCTGCACTGCACCTGCTGCGTAAAGCACTGCATCGTATAACAATAATCTTCCTAAATCACTTTCGTACATTTTATGTATGAAATATAGATTATATTTCATAACTATAATGTAATGTATAATCACTTCATCACTACATATTATCATTACGGCGTCTGCTATTATAATTAAAATTTCTGAATCGAAAGTAAAAGTTGGCAGTAAAGTAAATTCATATTAGGATGATTGCTGAGAAAGGGGCGGCTGGTACCGACTACATCGCTTGGGGCCTGGAGCGGCCAAGATTGCAAATCCGCCACTGGGTAGACCTAAACAAAAGGTAGCTTCTGTACACTGCTGAGGAGTTCCTCTCATCCGTCTGCCATTTCCATCATCGGATCAGCTCTACGTCACATCATCATTTCATTCGAATAACATCCATGGATAACGGAAACTGGGTAATTTATAGCGATGTTGTAGTTTCATGTTTTATGATTGATTTGTATGTTTTTTTAAACATTTTGCTTTTTATTAATTAATATAAAAAATATATAAATATTTTGAATATCAACCTATTTTTTCCGTTTTTGTCATTTCATACAATATACTGTTTGAGAAAACAAATACCTATACGCGATTTAGAAAAAAATAAGTTTCATTTGCAGAGTGTAACAATCGCGGAAATCTAAGAACTTCATTTATAAATCAGGCGATATTTTGCGAAAACCTTTATTAATAAAAAAGGAAGTGAATTACTTGGCTACTCCGCCAGCCCAGTGAACAATCAGTTATCTAACTGACAATACAAAAAAGGTCCGCTTGTATGGAGTATTTAAAAAAAAATACTAGGAATATTTTTTTTATAATACCAAGCGTGCGCCTGATGGTAAGCGACACGCCTATCCATAACAGTGTCAGTGCCATTCAGAGCATTCGCAAAAATCTTATGGGCACTGCCACTGCGCCCGTCACCCTGAGACATAAGTTGACAAGTCCTATGACATTGCCTTTTATATTTATTATGCCGACATTGCCCTTCTAAGCCGGAACGCAGTAACGCTCACATTACTGCTTGGCGGCAGAAATATGTAAGGTGGCAGTACTTCCCTCAACTCTTTCATAAGGAAATCTACTGCTACCGCAGTAACACAAACATAGCCACCACTACTGTTGGTACTTTTGCATATGTTTAATAAGTAAAAGTCTTATCAAATTATCCAGTCTAACTTTTCCAAATATTTATTTTCGACTTCATTTTCAATTTAGAGATAAAATAAAAAAGTGAAATAACCAGTCAGTTTTTGAAAAAAAAAAAAGATATAACTATGTGTATTTATGTTTTTTTATATACGAATATTATGAATATCTTAACGCATTGAAGCGGGTGCGCGAAAAGAGCCTCCGTGCACGACGTATCTTCTCTTTCCTGTACCTCTGGCGTACCCTGGGCGAGTAACTTACGTCGATTGGCAAATCCTTCAATCACGACGGCAAGCATTACAGTTTATGCCATCAACACGATAAGAAGAAAACGCATTAATGGAACTAGAGCGAATCAAGCTATAGTTCAAGATGTGAAAACCAAAAACACATGAAACAATTGCTTAATGTTACTAACGATAGTAGTGAAGCGATTATAAAGAAATGAAAACAGTAGAAAAAAATTCAAATTTTATTATAGATATGACACAAAATCGCACATTTTGTTTCATTCATTACTAACATATTTACGACGCCATACCTTTACCTGCGAGAGGAACCACATTACCGGGGCTAGCCAAACGACGAACATGACAGTGCTATGAAGAACTTTTTCCTGTTGTAAAAAGAAACACTAAGTATAATTGAAATGCGGAGTTAGAGATGCTTTAGGAGTCCTCTAACAAAACACTTTAGCAAAACATCAGGGATGCCCTTTTTGGCAGAAGGTCCACGTTTTATTACGCAACAGCCCACCAATTTGTGAAAAGTAACAAGTGGAATGGGATGATAGAATTATTAATCTGAAGAGTAGATTGTCCAGTTATTATTAAAGAAAATTGCATAAAATAGGGTGTATTCATGTTTTTTATGGTTGAAATATGTGCGCATTTGACCTCCATTTTACATGATGGAAAGTTATTGTTATATAGGTACAGATTTGTGTACTTACGTACCAACAAAGACACTTTGACTCTTGGCGGAGTAACGATGACGTGACCCACTTGGGCCCAATGGCGCTTAGGCATCTGCATGACCTTTTGCTGAGTCAGCATCTGGGTTTGGTTTATTGCATTTCTTGCGGTGTAGTACGGGCAAACACGAACACTACTGACCAGTCTTCCAAGCATATTCCAAATGTCTTGCTGATTTTGAGTTTAACGGTTATTTCTATAGTTGTAAGTTCAATGTTCGCTCATCGATTAAAATTTGTTGAACGAGGAAAAAAACTTGAAAGTCACATTAATTAGACGTCAATTTTCAAACTTCCAATTTTAAAATTTACTTTTATTATGAAGACAATATGTGTCGAGCTAAGGAGTTATTATTGATAGAGCTCCTCCGGCTCTATCAATAAATAAGAAAGCTGATTTTAATATTTTAATAAAGGGTTTTATTAAATTATATATAACGTGAACAACTTGACATGAAGAGAGTTCTACGGGGTAACAAAAATCAATTTAAATTTGAAAAAGAATAACTCTTATTGTCACACCGGCCGTAAAACGTAAAAGATTGCATATCCATGCTCTGACATTCCTCCTCAATTATTTACACCTGGCTTTTCTTATACTATCAAAAAACCTTGTCAGTCATGAACACTCAGTACACACCCATTTCTCTACGGCAAAATTCATACTTGCCCGTTAACACTGCTTTCGTTAAAGCATCAGCAACCATGCACTTGGTTTCTAAATATTTGAGCTTTATAGTATCCCTTTCTAATGCTTCTCTAATAAAATGATAGCGAACATCAACATGTTTCGGTTGCTGATGTTGCACCGGATTTAGGGCAATTGCCATAGCAGATTGACTATCTGTATGTATCGTGATAGGCAACTCCTCCTTGCCCGTGATTTCATTTCAGAAATCGCCTTATAAATATGGCTTCTTTTGTAGCTTCTGATAAGCTGATATACTCGGCTTCAGCAGTCGATAAGGCTGTACATCTTTGCTTGGTGCTCTGCCAAGAGATGGCTCCATTTGCCATCTTAAACACGTTACCGGAGTATGACCTCCTGTCTATTATATTTCCAGCGTAATCAGCATCTGCAAAACCTTGAATATTTCTACAAGACACGTCTTTAGAGTATACAAGTCCCATGCTCTTGGTACCCTTTAAGTATCTCAAGATTCTTTTAGCTGCGATCCAGTGCACTTCATCATAACAATTGCAGAACTGACTCATGAAGTTTACTGCATGTGCTATATCTGGCCTTGAACATACAGCTATATACATCAGTGAACCTATCAGCTCTCTGTAGGCTAAGTTTTCATTTGTACACTCTTTCCCTTTTTTAAATCGTTGTCCAAGAACTGCTGGTGTCCTAATTGCCTGTCAGTTTTCCATCTTGAACCTGTGAAGAAGCTTTTCAATGTAATCCTCTGGCTTGATTTTAATGAAATCTTTTCCTTGTTGGATCTCTATCCCAAGAAATACTTCAGCTTTTCCTACACCCTTCATTTCGAATTTTGTTTTTAATTCTTCCTTAACATTTTGCATATCTCTCTCATTGTTATAGAAAATGAGAATGTCTGTTTATTTGCTTAAAACATGGTATAACAGGAGATGTAACAAGAGACAGTGTTAGTATAAACATGTTCCGCATATATTAAATAGCATGCAAATGTCTGATTATGCAATGTCAATTGACTACTATTGGCCGAGCGTTATTGATTTGTACAGAAAAGTCAACACTTCTACGACGTGAGACAAGTAGTCACGAGCGACTGCAAGTTGTGACAAGCTACGTCAAACGGACACGTTAGCGCTCGCCTTCACTCGGTCAGCTAGGCGAGTGACACCGAACGATGGCAAGGCAAGGCAAGGCAAATAGGCTGTCTATACGTTGGTATTAGCCGTCACCCGGCAACGTTGGACCAACATAGTCATTGTATTGCTGGCTTTAGAAAATAAGAATTTTTAGTAGTTAGAGTTGTCAGTGGGAAAAAAATCGGAAACGAGTGGATAATTTTGTTTTCAGGAACTGAGAATTCCTAGTAAATGTGTCTTGTTTAATTTAAATTCAATATAAAAATATTTACCAGTACACCTAATGATGGAATTTCATTATCATGTAATCTAGTTACATTCAAAGTTATGTTAAAATTTGACTCTTCAAAATGAAGCGAATAAATGAAAATGGTCTTTGATTTAATGTTTATATTCGGCACTATTATACGGTGGTATGATTTCTAACCATTCTTTTTTCTTTTTGATTTGTAGGTAAACTTGAAACAGTAAAAACAATAATAACAAAATAATAAAAACCTCGTAGTGAATTATTTTAATAACAGAATATCGATAATATGTATGCTTCCAAGAACAACACTACCTCACAATAATCGTCAAAATATACAATAATATAATCCATCGATAAGTCATTATCGACATGCAAATGTATGGCTTGAATGTTGAAACTGTTTTTTTTGTTTCTTTAGTTTACTGTAACCAAAGTATGCCTAAACAAACAAGTCTAATAATTTAATCTCCAGTGGTATATTATTATAAATGTCAACACAAATGTGTGTAAATTAAAAAAAATATTTTCAAGACTACAACTGGTAACTTATTTAGTAAAAGTCACCAAACTGCTGTGCATTTTGTTGGCGACATGCGCATTCTTACTTAATTATACCTACTTTACTGGTATATAACATTACATAGTGTTAATTGTACTTACTAAATAAAATATAAAAATTACTGTAAGAGGGACGCCTTTAACCATTGACTTACAATTATATGGACGTCGGGTCCGCGCTAAAAAGTGTCCGAACTTATAGTGCGTTAAAATCGTATACAGAGCGTCATTCACGCTTTAGTCTTCGTTTGTTCGACTGACAGCGAAGCAAGCAAAATTAGACAGTACTGCGATGACATTACAATTTAAATTCAACGTTTTAGCTTTTTCATATTCCTTTACATGTCACTATGTTTAAATAGGTTGACTTGGGACATTTTTTTCGTGGTTTTTGTATTAGACCCGTCGCCCATTTATTTGTAAGTCAATATCTTTAACCTACATTTTAGTACATATTTACATATCGTCTTTTAACTAACTGTCAAGTACAAGTCTATTCAGGTTTCTGCGGATTCTAGTATTCACGTTACTGGCTTTCTTAAACAAATCAATCTATCAAGCAATTTTAACTGGTAACTTATTTCGTAATAATCACCAAACTGTTGTGCAGTTTGTTGGCGACATGCGCACTCTTACTTATTTTTTTTTAACGCACACACTCAACATTGCCCTATCTATACCTATTTTACTGGTATGTAACATTACATAAAACAAACAATAAAAACCTCATAGTGAATTGTTTTAATAACAGAATATCGATAATATGTATGCTTACAAGATCAACACTATTTCAAAATAATCGTTAACAACAATCATCAAAATATACAAACAAACAGGCAATCTGAAGTAATAAAAGCAAAATTTGGTAAGATTTATAAATAAACTACTTAAATAAGTCTAATTACGTGACATATTTGGGCTATTGTGTGATTTATAGACAAAAAAAAGCACATGCCTATGCAATGTAACATTCGATTGATTTGCACTTTTTCTAAAGCCACATCCCTTAATGCTGCAGCGTCGCATTTTTATTCATACCTAATTATTCTCACTGTCTATATTTTTGTCCAATTTAATTATAATACATGCAAAAAATTCAATAGTACATTTGGAAAAACATTTGTTTTGACATTTGATGTTCTTCCCTTTGACAACGGTATCATGTACCTTGTACTGCGAAATGGACACGGTTGGCATATAAGATGACGTTACGTATTTTCGATTCCCGTGTTTGACACAGACCAATGTAATGCTATCTCTTTTGGCTTAAGACGGCACGTAATAGTTAAACAAAGACAATGACATGTTTATGTTTTCGACATCGAAATGCATCATATACATATAACGTCTGATTTATATATGTCAACGTAACATGTCCTTTAGTTTCCATAGTTTATGGTAAAAATTTAACGATTTCCCGCGAAAAAAAGTCAGAAAAAAATTATTTAAGAAAAAATTATGTAAGACCTGGCACTATGGCTAATTAGGTGCCTTAGCCTGTGCCAAAGGACAAAAAACTTTACTACTGAAAGCTGCGTTATGTAATAGTGAAACATTGATGCCGTATGAGGTAACATTTTTATTTCATTAAAATTATTACTAATTAATTTGAAAACGGCTTTACTGAAAACTAAACTCCTGAAAACCTACCTAACAATAAAGGACAGTATCGGCCTGCATCTGTAATGGCAAAACTGAGACCTACTACTTTAACGAAAGACACCTGTCTAGAATTTAGTAGCTCATATCTTATTTTTACGTTAACATTGCGGGTTCAAAATTCTGCTTTGTATCCGTTTTATTCTTATTAGAAATAGGATTGAGAGATGGTCAGTCGTAATCCAGCCGAACAGTTGGAGGCAGTCCAATTGTTACGGTACCAATTGGTGAAACGGTGAAACATAGGAGCATAGTTCACCTGACATTAGCCTGTGGTCACAAAACATCCGGACAATTCCCAGATCTACTGTAATGAAGATAGTTTTTGGAACGGAAAACATAAGTTCGCTATGCAATCTCGTCGCTTAGTTGCTTCTTAATTGCTTAACTTTAACTGGAGAGTTTGTGCTGTCGTCTGGATTCGTTAAAGTTTACGCATACTTAACCCTAAATAAGATGACAGCTCACTATCTTCTTGAGTTATAGGTAGTACGAAGTAGTCTTAAGATTATGAATTAAGAGTTTATACGACCTCAAATGGCTTTAGTTGATTCCGTATAACTGTGAAAGTGTTGAATCAATCAGTTTGGAAAAAATATATAGTAAAATTGAGGATATAGACTGATTACTATACGGTGTGAAAACGGGACTCCTAAAAATTTTCGTGATAGAAAAAAAAACCACAACTTACCTCGAAATTTTAAAAGAAAACCGCTGTATTCAATAAGTACTTTACATACCAATGATTTTTTTATATCAACTGAATTAAATAGAACACGTATATTATACGATATACCTTAGAATAATAACGCATAGAATGATAGTTTCATATCAAACGAACTGTCACAAGTGAGGCAAAAATCAAATTCATGTAGGCTAGTTTTAGTAGTAGGTTAATTTTCGGTTTTAGTGAATGTTTATATAATAATACAAGTTGAAACACGTTACTTCCTTGTGGAATGTGATGTTAGTACCTATTTTATGTTTGTCTGACGTATTTTTACACTCATTTACCGCACATTTCGTCATTTTTAGCTAAAATTCTTGATCTGTTCGCGGTGTAAGTTGACCTTGAGCACTGAAGGCCCGCCCGCTCGTGTAGGCCCATTGGGGGCGCTTCAATTTGCCTCACTTAGCGTGTGCGGACTAGGTTTCTATGCGTTATTATTCTAAGCGATATACATATTTCAAATGGCCTTAA